TCTCTTGTCTCAGCCTCCCAAGTAGCGGGGACTACAGGCGCCCGCCACAATGCCCGGCTATTTTTTTTGTTGCAGTTTGGCAGCTGCTGGCTCCGAACCTGCCACTCTGGGTATATGGGGCTGGTGCCCTACTCACTGAGCCACAGGCGCCACCCTGAATTTAGTAATTCTTGATAAAATGCTACTATAATTTTCCCTGAAATTTGCCTATGGTTTACACTTATAGGTATTCTTACCGGCTTACTTTTCTTCTTTACATAATGGGGACTTATTTCATAGTGAGTACTTATCTCATGGGAAGTTGTAAGAATTAAATGGAATGAGATATGTAAAGTGCACAGTTCCGTAGGCTGTGTGAAAAACGTCTGCTTCTGATGAAGGCTTCAGGCTGCTTCCACTCATGGTAGAAGGCAAAGGGCTTGTGTAGAGATCACCTGGTAAGACAGGAAATAAGAGGGAGGGAGGCACTGACTCCTTTTAACACCAGCTCCTGCTGGAATGAATTGAGAAAAAACTCACTCAACCCAACCCCTACCCCAGAGGGGATTAAACTGTTGGTGAGGGATCAGCCACCATAACCCAAACACTTCCCCTTGGGCCTCACCTCTAACATTGGAAATTAGATTTCAACATGAGATTTGGAGGTATCTGACAAACCAGATACAAACTATAGCACACCTTAAAAGAGCAGATTAGAATTTTGTGATCCTGAGCAGCTATAGGTGTCTCTCAGATCAGAGATAAGAAAAGAAGAGGTTAGGTTCCTTGAGGAAGGTTCTGAGGAAGAGAAAGTAGCATCAGGTTTCATTTAGGTAATGAATTGTTCAGGTGACTATGAAAGTGATCTTTTTTCAACTCAGAAGTTTGCAAGAAGTAAAACTGGTGGGCTGCCATGGTTTGGAGGTTTGTTTGGCCCTGCCAAGCTTCATGTTGAAATTTGGTCCCCAGTGTTGCTGGCAGTGCCTGGTGGGAGGTGTTTGGATTGTGGGGGTAGATACCTCGTGAATGGCTGGGTGCCATTCTAGCTTGAGTTCTCATTCTTAGTTCCCATAATAACTGGTTCTTGAAAAGAGCCTGGCACCTTCACTCTCTTGCTTCCGTTCCTGCAGTATGATCTTAGTACATACCAGCTTCCCTTGTCCTTCTGCCATGAGTAAAGCATGCAGAATTGTGAATCAAATAAACCTTTTTTAATAAATTACTCAGTCTCAGATATTCCTTTATAGCAACACAAAAGGAGTAAGACAAGAGAGAAAGGCATATTTACTTGTTTTTTCCTGGGCCTGCTCAGCTAGTCAGGCAATGCTTGGTAGGTTATCGTAGTTATTTAATACATTAGAATTCCTATTTGCAAAAAGTACACGATAGCTCTCCAGTACTGCTCACCAGACGCCTAGATCTGTGGCATTTCTCTGCTCCATCTGGAAGCCAGGCCAGTGCTGGGAGGCATTTAGTCACCTCCTCCTAAGAAATCATTTGAGAGGTGAGAATAAGGAAAGTCTGTGACACCAGCACAACCACACCCCTTTTTGAAGGCAGTGTACCTAATGGGGGCATTTTAGTATATTCTATTAAAAAAGCAATTTGTTTTGCTGCTTTAAAAATGCTTTTTTTTTTTGCAATGTTTGACTGGGGCTGGGTTTGAACCCCCCCACCTCCAGCATATGGGGCCGGCACCCTACTCCTTGAGCCACAGGCACCACCCTAAAAATTATTTCTTTTAAGTGGATGTATTGTGACTTTTCTCTTGCTTGGATTGAGAGAAAATGACATAGAATGTAGTACTATTATCAAGGGAACAGGGAGTCTCCTCCTACTTGTGGTATTTAAAGTTCTTGTGATTGGAAAGCAGTACTTGTGGTTGAAGTAATTAAATGGAATGTTCTTTCATAAATTTTAATTGTTTACCCACATCTAGATTACAGAACACGTCTGTAGTATTTATAGTAGTTTCTCAGGTGTCCATAGTTTCCATATGATTTGATAAAGTGATTTATAATGATTTTTTAAAATGAGTTAGAAGAAACTTTTTATTTT